TGCACCTCCGCCAAAACCTTTTGGGATTTGCCGTCTGTGATGTCTAAAGGGACTTTAATTCTATTTTTTTCAGGTAGTTCCTTCAACACATCCTTCTTTAATCGTCGTATCATTATCGTATCTATTATCCCACTAACATCAGTGGACAAGCTTATGCCTACTTGTGAGCAGATTATAAAGTTCCTCTTTGTTTTTGGCCCCAACCCACTTGTTGACAAGTCGTCCTAAACGAAAATGGTTGGAACTACGACCACACCCATTGCGCCGCCGCCGCCGCCGCCGGCCGCGATGATGATGATGATGATGATGATGATGATGATGATGATACTCACCTCTGCCTATGTGCTGCTGTTCCTTTATACAGTAGCGATTATGGAATTTACTCTCACTAGGAAAGTTCTCTGATAAAAGACGCGATACATGATAGCGATAATGGCACTGTCCTTACTGAGAAGACAGTAAAGGATATTGTAGAGTTCCGCCGCTCGGTTGAGTGCCGGTGTACCCGAGATGAGAATAGCACGATTGGCTCTCTGGAGTACGGGCATCACAGCCTTAGTTCGTTGGGCTTTACTATCCTTAATCGCATGACACTCGTCACATATCACTACTTGGAAACTGAAGCATAAATCTGGGACGAATTAAGAGTAAGAGCACACAAGCCATGCAGTTCGGTAGTAAGAGCGGTGACCGCCGCCGCCGTTAATATTGCGCAAGTTGAGTACATTCCTAGGCCCTACAATGCAATATTCCGCTCCCAATTATATTATAGACTTGTTGAGAGAGGTATGGTATTGTGTGAGGTGTATGGTGGAATAGGGAGCTCAGTTGACTCGATTGTCTTCCCAAATGGTAACGAATGATGTGTTATCAATGAGGCTGCTGATAGCATCATGCGAGAGCATCAGTAGATGAGGCATAATGGAACTCTCCTTCTTTACTATCTTGCCCTTATAAAACTTTTCCTGATGTACTGTATCTTGGGATATAAGCATCAATGATCCCCATCATTCGTCAATGTATTTCTCTCATGAGGTTGCCGCCGCCGGCGACATTACTCTTCTCACCTCGTTTACGTGAGCAACAGTAAAGCATATTGAGGGATGTCTAGATGAGAGAGGACCGTCCCACGTCGAGGATT